TTATTTTTACTTGTATGGCTATACAGTGGACTCAGCATAATGTATTGAAAACACCACTTCTTCCACTTCGCTGCAGCGACATTTCTCAAAACAGTCCTGTGTTGCCCAGCCAGTGTGGCTCAGTGGTTGAGCATCGATCCATGAACCAAGAGGTTGCCTATTTGATTCCCAGTCAGGGCACATGCCCAGGTTGCAGGCTCCATCTCCAGTGGGGGCCCTGCAGGAGGCAGCAGATCGATGTTTTTTTCTCAAAAAAAAAAAACATCTCTCTATCGTTCTCCTTTCCCCTCTCTCTAAAATCAATAAAACCATATGAAAAAAACCACAAAGAGGTCCAGTGTGCCTGTATGTGCAGATGTGTGTTCTGGCTTCTCCTTTGCCCAAATAACACTTAGTTCTTTAATGACAAGTCTTACTATTTGACAGAACCTCTTCCTCCACCTTCATGAATGTTTTGGCTATTCTAGAACCTCTTCTATCTATACTAATAAAAGGGTAATATGCTAATTAGACTGGACATTTTCTGGACGACCTTCTGGACATCCTTCCTGACAAAGTCGGGCCCGGGTGAAGCCTCCCGCCCGCGGTCCCGGGCATCAGCATCTGCAGCTGCAGCCCAGGAGAGGGCGAAGCCACCCGCCTGTGGTCCTGGGTGCCAGCAGCTGTGGCTGCGGGCCAGGCAAAGCCAGCCTGGGTCCCAGGTGCCTTGCCTGTGGCCGGCCAGAAGGAGGGAAGCCGGGTCCCGGGTGCGGGGCCAAGGCAGAGGTGGTTAGGGGTGATCAGGTCTTCAGGGGAGCAGTTGGGGTCATGAGGCAGGCAGGCAGAGGTGGTTAGGGGTGATCAGGCAGGCAGAGGTGGTTAGAGGCTATGAGGCAGGCAGGCAGAGATGGTTAGGGGTGATCAGGCAGGCAGGCAGGTGAGTGGTTAGGAACCAGCGATCCCAGATTGTGAGAGGCAGTCAGACATCCCCTGAGGGATCCCGGATTGTAGAGGGTGCAGGCTGGACTGAGGGATCCCCCCCCACCCCCGTCCTGTGCACAATTTTGTGCACCAGGCCTCTAGTTTCATATAAATTTGGAACCAGATGGTCAATTTTTTGAAAAAAAAAAGAAAAGAAAAGAAAAAAGGAAAAAAGAGAAACCTCCTGGGATTTCATTGAGCTCGGAGTCATCAATTTTGAGAGAACTGACATCTTTACAATATTGAGTCTTTGAAACCACAAATAAACTATCTCTCTCCATTTTTTTAGGTCTTCTTAATTTCTTTGTACTATGTTTGATCTTTTTCTAGATAGGGGCTTGCACATCTTTCAGTTATAATAAGTATGTGATTCTCTTTGATACTTTAAAAAATCACATATTAAAAATTTTATTTTCTAACTATGTTGCTAACATATAAAAACACTTAATTTTTAAAATGTTGACCTTGTATTACAATCTTGGTAAACTCACTTTTTAATTCTTATAATGTATGTACCAATTCCTTCTTGAATGATTATTTTATTTTCATTTTGAGTCTTGAAACTTTTAACTAATTAAGTAATGAATTAATTAATCAACTGCCTATTGCACTTGCTAGGGTCTCTGCTTCAATCTGAAGGAGGCAATGAGAGTGGGCATGCTTGTTTTGTTCTTCAGCACAAAGAGGTCTCTCTCTCCATTTCTTTCTATTTGTAAATGCTGTTGAAGGACTTGTAAGATGAGCATATTCCTGGCTCAACATGTAAAGATGACAATTTCTCTCTGCCATTAATGTATCAGTTCTAAAGAGTCCCATTTGAAATCCTCAGAGTATATTTCATAGGCCTTGATAAACTGATTAAAAAATTATCTAAAGGAGAATGTATACATACAAGAATTGCCAAGGAATTTTCGGAGAGCAAAAACAGTGAGAGGGTTTGGGCTAGATATTAAAACACATTTGTCTTAGGTCAGCTATCCTAGAAGCAGAGCTGAAGACAGGGATTCCTGTTCAGGTATTTGGAGGGGGTGTGTGTCTTTGAGAGAAGCAGGACTAGATAAGGGAAACATGTTAATCAGTCATGTGGCCTCAGCAAGAGTTTAGCTCCAGTCTGATCCTATGGAGGAAGCTCTGGATGACAAATTGCATTTATAAAATGAGTCCTATTTTGATGCAAGGGGACTGTCCTGTCCTTTAATCTCCTTACGCCAATGACTCACTCCTGAGGTGTGCCCTGGTGAGGGTGGGGTGCTGTGTATTTCCTGGCAGGGGTTCCCATTGAGCTGAGAGTCATTTGACAGAAGGGCAGCTGTGAGTTATCAGCCAAACCAGTAACTGGGTGATAGAAACACTGGCTGGTTAAGAGAATTGGGGTGGGACCCCAGCAGCATCCACTACATTATAGGCTTGGAGACAAAAATGTTATAAGCCAGTATTAGTAACAGACAGGCAGAGGTTGTGCCAAACTTGGGATGGGATGTGGAACTCATTACTACTCTGAGTCAGGGCTTAATTAGCTTCTGTCCTCACTCATAAGAATAGAAACAATTTTTATAGTTTCTAATTATTAACATATCTACCTTTAGGACAGTTTTGATACTAGAAGGGGTTGATAAAATAGAAGGGGAAGGGATCCAATGCTTGAAGGTTTTGATGACATTGAAAATTAGGGTTAGAAAGATCAAGGACAGGCATCTGTAACCAGATGGAGAAATTTTGGTGGTCCAGTTAAATTTTGGGTTACAGCAGGAGTAGTCCCTGGTGATGG